CCATCGCTAGTAGGTTGAAGGCCATCACTACTACGGTGGAGGCCATCACTCTTAGGTTTCTACTTGTTCGATCACGTTTCCTGTTGCTCGAATCGACGAGATCACGTGTGCGGTGCTCCTCGACCACCTCCGGAGCTGCGTCTTTGCCTTTCTTCCCCATCACCTAGCGCATGGCCGTCACGCATTGTTACTACTAGTAAGGCACTTGTACCAGAAGCAATGCACTTGTTACTAGTAGCTTCTTGTTACTACTAGTAAGGCACTTGTTACTACCAGTAAGGCCGAAAAATGAGACATGTTGAACGCTACGTAGGAACATTGTCATTGTATCTGATGATTAGGACGGAGAGAGATCCCAGGGTTGACAGGCCTCAAACAAATGAGAGCTATTCAAAAGAAATCAGGCAGTTCTAACACCAGGCTTTGTCAGGGCTTGAGAATCTTGGATGCTCTAGACTGCTAAACCACCCCCAATCAGCAGCCTCAAACCCGATCGGGTCGACCAACGATCAAGTTGATCAAGGCTCTAATAGCGATGGCCTCCGACCTAACTGTAATGGCCTCCATCCATCCAGAGCGATGGCCTCCAACCGACTAGAACGATGGCCTCCATCCCACCCACTAGCGATGCCTCTAATACCGTTTGTTTAGCCTCGGCATCCCCACTTCTCGCCGAAGTCTGGGTCGCTTCTGTCGCACTTCTTTGAGCCGACGGATTCGGCGCATCAAGAGCTTCCAGGATCTGAGTAGACAGCTCTCACATGTGTCCGGCTTGAAAAAGAATCCGTTTGCAGGGCCTCTGTTGTTTTTGCAGAATAACACTTGGGTGCCATTCACCTGCAGACAAAAAACACTCCAGTGCAGGCACAAGCAACGCAGCATTTTTCGGGGGGGTCTTACTGAAACTAGTGCCCACTCAAAGCTCCAGCCGCTCTACTTTAGAGCTTGTCCAAGTAGTCACCCAAGGCAGGCATCTCGACCTTCAGGTTCTTGCGCTTGCGGATGTTCAGGATCAACTCCTCCATCTTGCTGCCCTTGTCCAAAGGATTGCCCTGCAGGTTCTCCCAGTGATCAAAGACGCACTGGGGGAATGCCTGACCACTGGTGGCCTGTCGCAAGGCAGCCACGAAACCGAAGGACTCAGACACTGGCAAGTGCGCCTTCACCTGGACCAAGGGAGTGCCCTCCCTCTGATTCTCCTCAAAAACACAGCCACGGCGCAGGTTCATGCAGTTGTAGACACCACTCATGGCCTCCTGTGGGCACGTGATCTCCACCAAGAAGACAGGCTCCTGCAAAGTAGGCTTGGCCGTGAGCTCCGCAGCAAAGCAGCATCGTCGGGTTGGAGGCATGATCTGTCCAGCACCACGGTGGATGGCATCAGTGTGCAAGGTCACATCCATCAAATTGAAGCGGATTCCTCGCATGTTCTCTTCACACAAAGGTCCTTCCTTTGTGGCCCACTGGAAGGCACTGTTCACATGCTCCTTGATCTCAATGAGGTACTGCACACCGACCGTGGCATCAACCACAATGTTTGCGCCATCGGTCTCGGGGCCATAGCACCAGATCTTGGTCTGGGCCACCTGCTTGTCCCAGTCGAACTTCTCGGTCAAGAGCTTGGCTCGCTCTTTGGGATCTGCCTTGGGGCCAGCAGGTCCGTCTTCAATGGCCTTGTTGAGCTCCTCATCCATGGGCTCGGCCTTGAGGTAGATGCGGTTGTGCTTGTTGGGCGACTTGGCCAAGCACGTCTGGGTGGATTCCTCGCTCACGGTCTCGCGGTAGGACACCACTGGGTCAGAGACAATGAATTCACACTGAGCATACTCATCCTTCAAGTCCTTCAAGCAAATCTCCACGTGC